GACGCTTCAACAGGAAAACACCTAGCCAAACTAGTTTTACTGCAGGTATGTCAATAAAAAGCACCAGGAAGGTATGTCTCCTTCCCTGAGAAATTATGGGTCAATGGAATGCTACTTTCATAACAGAAAGCTGGAGGGATGATCTGTCCCTAGTTAAGAAATATTTTTAGTTTTTAACTAAGAAAAGTGTGCACAAACAAAACATAGAATTAAAAGGCTGAACTAAAAACAAGGTCTAAGATTTGCCAAACTTCCTGATCGAAGAGTTCGGTAACGACAAATACGTTTCTGGCGTTCGAAGTCTTAATAATCAAGGAATATATCATTTGGCTTAGATACGGACTCAAGGGAACAAAAAAGGGTTAAAAAACTCCAACACATTCAAGATGCTCGAGAGCAAAGAGGGTTCAAGTTAGTTTGTGGAAATAAAAGCAGATTAAATATCTAGAAATAGTTTAATGAGCCACTATATACATGTGGAAGTGTTTCCATTAAATATTTATGTTTAACCACAAGCCAACCTCTGCAATGTGTGCACCCTTCTTCTGGTTGGTTACGAAAATAATTTTTTGATGCTTCTTGAACTATAACTTGCTGGGGGGGGGGGTGTGTGTGGGGGGGTGGGAGGGGTATAAGATTCCAAGTTCATCTTCATGCTGTTTTAAAACCCTAACCTTCAAGCAAGAGCTTGATCTATGGGAAACAGCTGCAGAAAAGTAAATCTCCCTTTGAAAAAGTCCAGAATGTATTTTTGTTACGTATGTTTTGAAGTCATGGTAAGAAAATTAGTGAAAATTGTAAATCTGCTTGCAAATCTGGTCATGTCTAGCCCAAAGATTAGGGGAAAGATTCCAATTTAATAGCAAGACCATGACAACCCTAGTTAAGCATGCTCTAGGACAGCGCAGAGGGGGTCCTTTGCTCACCTTCACGCGTTTTGGATTTATTGCACGCACCCAACACGTTTCATATTAGACACCCCTTGACTGTGTACTTGAGACAGCAGGGTTCAGTGTGCACTTCCTCTGCTGACCAATATATTATTCTAAATTGAGCTAAAGTGTTTCCGTTTCATGAGTGATATAAAGTTCAGATTTGAGTTTTTCGGCAGCAGATTTGCAGTCATTCGGCAGATCTTTCCTCTTCATATTAGGAAAAGTAAGCCTTAAAGAAAGAAAAAAAATCTGTCTTCCTGAAAATAATTTTAGATTTTGTTTGGTTTTGTTTAAACAAAATACATTTATATTATTGTAATAGCTTACTTCAAGGATGGATTTGATACCTCACGTTTAATACTAACATACATTTAAATTATGGCTTATGATTTCATCTGAAGAGGACTGCTGCAAACACAGGTGTAAATTTATATTTCAAGACTGCATTTTGCTAAAATTCCACCCAGAACGACAAAAAAGATTTTATAATGCCAATGAAGAGAGGAACATAAACATTACTAAATGACTACTAGAAATGCTACAAAACACTCACGATCTTTTTGCTACTGTGATATACCCATTGATCAGGATTTACAAGTTGCTGTACTTGCACATTACTATTAGAAAATCCGAGTTACCGTCGTTTCATATCTAATACTTGGTGTGTACAATATTTGGAAATAGTCAGGGTATTAGAGATACAGGAATTGATAGGACCTGACTTTTTAATTACTAGCAACAGACTGAATTTGACGTTTCAGTATTTTACAACATTCATATACAGCAGCAGGCACTATGCCATTTCAACAACTGGAAGAACAGACCTACAGAGTTGCTAAGTTTTTTGCTAGACTTGGACAAGTCAGTGGTAGTCAGAAATAGTACACAGTCCTGCCAACCAGTCCCTGAATGTCAACTAGCTGCAGTACTCTTATCTTTACATTGTATTTTGTAGATGCCTTGCATATGCTGCCACTGCTTTTAAAATAATGCCAGCAAGACGACTCTGCTTACTGAAATGATGTTCTGGAACATATGATGTATAAAGGCACAACATAAATGAATCTAACATTGCCTTCTTTATTGTCAAGTTACTTTTTATACAAAGTTTTCGTATTTTATCTTTTAGATGGCATCCTCAAGATGCCTCCTCTTAAAAATCAATTTAAAAACACACAAACAGTAAAAAATACACTAAAACTGTATACGTCCACTTACGTGGTCTTTCACTTCAAGTGAAAAACAATAAAGGCTGCTCTGTACATAGAAACCTTATAAATGGGCAAGTTAGAGAATACTCTCTCAGACTGGATAATATAATATTCTTTTTAAGGTAACTGAGAAAGAAAAATACAAAGGCTATGGAAATGCAGAAGAGATTATCAAACACCTGGTCTACAGAGCTGAAATCTGTAGCTCTTCAAGAAGTATTAATAAGAAAGTTATTTACACATCGTCTTCAAAAGAATGTTTAATATATCCTTTGTTTCCATCTAAACATGATGATGATGTTATGTCTTAAACTAACTTTCTGACCCACGCTTCATAGAGCATAATGATAATACTTTATCCCTGTTTATAAATCCCATCAGGGAATAAAAAAGATGTCCTTATGATCTGGTAACTCAGTCAACTACAGTCTACAGTATTTTCCATAAAAATACTGAGGTTAGACCCCTTCTTTTATTACTTGCCTTCTGCATCTGTTGCCCAGCAAAGCTGTGTATGCGCAAACTTTCCAGTCAGGAAGGATTAGATCAGAAGTTTACTTGATGCCCGAACTGCTATTGCATTAAAATAGATTAATAATTCCCTTTCTACAAATGTTTAACTGCCACTTAAACTTCACTTTCATTTAAGCAATGTCTCCATTTCCCTCCAGTCTGCTACTCTACATCCTCATAAATACAGAAAAGGGAGCCACATCCACACCACTGTGCCAAAGGACCTTGCGTCTTAACACTTGATCTGTACCTGTCTGAACACTTCAGAGCACAGGCAGTCCAGTGTTTTTTACACAAGATACTTCACTGATGACAGTGCACAGGATTCGATGAGGTAACGAAGAACAAGGAATGGTGTATGTTTTTTAAGATTGCCCGCAAATGTATTGCTTGTCATAAGTAAACTGTTTTCATATTTGTTGGAAGCTAAAAGTGAAAAAAGACTGTCAGCCCCAGATGCTGGCAGGGCGACAGGTCATTTGTGCCATCTCCCAAGTCACAAACAGAGAACACGCTGCAAGTGCTCTCACTCTTTGAACATGATGTCTGTCAAGCCAAGTCACTAAACAGGCAAACATGGTGATGCCAGAAGCGTTGTTGATGTTTTGTGAGATTTACAGCTACATTTGTTTAAACAAAAATGATAACTAAGAGAAACACAAGCCAAAAGAAAAAGCAACAGGTTTTCTATCAACAAACCTTAGCCACAGTACTTGCCTCTTTTCTTGCAAGGGAAAAACCTTAGTGTGTGAGCTGAGCTGCTCAAGTGCACGAACTCAATTTAATTTTCTTTTTTTAATCCTCTACACTTGAGACACTGAGACTCACTCTTGGACAATGACAACTCTGTTCATTATAATCTTAGTATAATCCCACTACTAGAAAACAGTATGTTTGAATATACACATGGAAAAGCATAGCAGAAGGAGAGAAGTGTCATGTCTAAAACTGGTGACCAATAAAATATCCACAGATCAGCATAATGGTTGACACTCCAAGAACCATGGTACCACAGAACTTTAAGACTGCTACAATCACAGCTTACATAATACATAGCCTATAAGCCAAACTCAAGAACGGGAGGTTTTTTGTTGAACTTAACAGACGCAGATGCACACAGTTACTCAGTACAACTACATTAAGAATGTGAACAGGAATCCACACCTACAAATATAAGGACGGGACAGATACAGCTCAACTTCTCACAAGATCTGGGGAACTTCTGCTTCCATCTGAAGCCTGACTTGGACTAGTAATTCTGACTGCACAACAGACAGAGAAGGTTTGAAAAGAATATTCTCCTTTTTTAACTGTGAAGTGAAAGAAACATTAGGATAAAAAAGTTCCCCAAAATACACTGAAAGCAGCCAGGGTAGGAGAAATCTATTACACACTCTAGCCATGTCTCATGTCTTTCTAAATAAGGAAAGTCCTAACTGAAAGGAAGGTACGATAACTTATATTAAAATCAGTGTCGTCATCTCTTGTTTTCAACATAAAGTTCACCTTCTTAGCCCTTGAAAATTACCAAGCATCAAGTAGAAGTCTCCTTGGTGAAGTGGTATTGCTAATCCAGGTGTCTCTATGTCCCATGCTACCTTCAAGCCTACGTGCCAAACAGCTGGGTCTCTTCCCTCCAGTTCTTGTTCATTACATTCTTGCATGGTTGAATCTTTAAGGAGAGAGGGAAAAACACCACAAAGATGACAGACAAGGTGAGAATCATAAAATACAAAAGCTGATCTAACAATACAGACTTAATAATATCCCACATCAGTACAATCTTAATAGGCTTAAACTTTCTATAATCTCCATTTGGTATAATCACCATCTCCAAATTCAAAAGTACGTAATAGGTTAAAAAAAAAAAAGCCATACAAGATGAAGAATTTTTTGCAAGCAATTGGAGTAAGATGAAAACTTCATGTTAACAACAAAGCGAGGGCAAGTCAAGGCAAAGTTTGTCATGGACTCAAGTTTTTGTGAAGTTCTCAAGTACAAGTAACAGGAGTTTTACTTAATCTTCACTTTTTTTATTTTTTACATTATTAAAACCATAACCATGGAAGAAACAAACAAAAAAAAACCACCATGCAGGAACACTGACATAAAAATAGATAACTTCTGAAAGAATTTTACGTCATAAACTGCCAAAGCATTTTACGAACAATTTCATGTGTTTACGTCCTTGCAATTTCACCATACCATAAACTTAGGCACAGTAAGGTGAAATAATGGGCACAAAACACAATCCAGACCAAAGTCAAGTGAATCTTGGAATCATATCTGTGATTCTTTTCTCTAAATTACCAGTCAAACATGCTAGATAACATGCACAAGAGCCAACAAAGCTTCAAGACATTTGTCACAGCACTTTTCTGATCATTAAGCAGCATGAATGTGTCGAGCTTGGGGAAAAAAATAATCCACTGCACAGAAATAGTATTTAGAGCTTAATCCCTCAGAACTATTTTCATAAGCTTACTTCACTGCAGTATAAATTGAAAGATACAGTCAGCATTTATAACAAGGTATTTGGGAGCTACGGTATAACAGTGTTATGGCTAAAGCAACAGAGCATTTTGACAGAGGGAGGACAAAGTTTTAATAAGCAGTTGGCACAGAACAACAGTGAACAGTCAGAAATCATCAGATATGTAGCATGCCTCATTATTGCTTATGACTTAGTAACAGTGTATGTCCATTTCACTGTCCATTTCAAAGGTGCTTTCATGTAATAACTTTCAAAACTTTTGTCTTCATTTAATTCCAGAATAAAAATACTAAAATAAAGATTTATAACTTTTACTATAACATGCCCACATAAAAAGTGACCTTGAACTCACACTTTGAAAATACTGAAGTCATTCATCTCACATGGTTACTGTGATGTTTGTTTAGTTGGGAGTAGCCTTTAATAATTAATAAATTGTCTTAATTCCCTATGTCAATTAAGTATTGCCTAAATTCAGGAAGCAGTGCACCAAAACCTATCAAAAAGCCAATCTAAAGTTCTTAGTCAAAACTCCTACTGTAAATTCAGTCCCCGTATTCCCTCCATTCACCGCTGCAGCTCTCATCAGCTGAAGCTTTGGCTGGGCAGCAGCTCTAGGCCTTTCTATCAAGGAGCACACAAATGAGAAAACAACAGCTAGCAAATACTCCGAAAAATCAATACTAAAGTCTTCAAGGGGCTTTCACATTTTCTGCCCTGTTCAGATAAATCGTAACTTAAGAAAAATGTTTTCTGAAAACTGCAAATAGGATGACTTTCAAGGCATTTTTAATGCAATACATCATGGATATTATAAAAAGAGGTAACCTTTCTGGGTTAACTCTCTCTGTTATGCCGCTTTCCCATTCACTTTGGCAGCAGCACTGTTCACAATATGGCACCAATAAAATATAGAACTACAATCAGAGACAGAAATTTCAATCAAAAGTTTCCTGGGGTCTCCTCATAAATCCAGCACCTTCGGAATGTGCTCGTTAAAATGACTTATTTTTTGCAGTTTGATAAATTTTTTATTGCTTAAGTATAGAGTTCAAATGTAGCTCACAGTCTCCTTTTCTCTATACTCTCAAGTATTGCACCTTATAATTATCAGCAGCAATTGAAACTGATTGCTCCTACCATGTTATTTTGGTAACAAATGGAAGCAAGCTGCTACTAGCTTTAAATGCAACCTACTCTAAAGTGAGAGCGGGGTGGGGGGGGGGGGCAGAAAAAAAAGACAATATTTGTGGCATACCTCTAGGTAGAACTGACAAACTTGTACATAAAAAGAAGTTGTTATTAAATTCTCTATGTCACACCTCAAGCACGACTGAATGCTGTATATTCATTGACTTAATTACAGTTCCCATGTAAGTGAAAACATTTGGACGCATCTAAACCATAGGTATTCGAGAGTAAATCACGTGGATCTTGCACACAGACAGCACCTTAAGAACACATATTTATTCTGGAGTAGACCATACAGAAATGGTCAAATGTAGCAGTATTTAATGGAAATAAAACTATCTGCAAATTTGAATTCTGTTCATTAAAGATTTATAGAATTTGGCCTGCAAGAAACCTTTATGGCTGCATCCCAAATGAAATGGTGCAACCAGGTAATAGGCTTACCACAACATAACTATACCTCACCAAACCTGTAATTAAGGCAGAACCATGAAAGAGAGAATGTAGCTGCAGAAAACTGGCACATTATGCTCATAACTAGACAGCTCCAATTGCAGAGATGTTCCAGCTATAAGACCCGATCTTATCAGGTTTGGGTCATGGTAGGTTCAGAACACCACAGAACTTCTTTTCCTGGATCTACTTTGGTTGCTGTTCCACAGCACAGAAAGTAAAAGCAGCCTTAAAAGGTTTCACTGCTTCAAGGCACAAAATCTTCAACAAGTGTTTGCAAGTTTTTTAAAACTCTGAAAGCTAAATGTTCTCTATTCAAGTCAAATTGTAATGTCAAACTATATCCTAAATGTAATCTTAAATCAAACATGATTTCTTAGACAACAGAATCACTGCCAACACATTGCTAAAAACAAGCAGGACTGCAAACATCTACTTTGTCATTAAATACAACTGATGGCTGTTACACAGAAAAAAGATTTTTTTTTTCACAGATTGATTTTTCCAGAAATCAAAAGAATTTACGCATGTGTTCTCTGACTAATGAAATATATACATTATTACTGTCTTCCATAACAATTTATATATGTTATATGCAAGAAGTGAAAAAAGTAGAGCATGCTTTGCTTTTCAGCAGCTGGTGGAAAAGAATGAGACTTAACCAGCGTTATTTCTTCTACCTTATTACTGAAAAGCCATAGCACAAGAGATTAATTAAATGGTACTAACATTTTAACTTTTGCTTGCAACTGACATTCACAAAAATAAAAATCAGAAGATTTGCCATCATTATTCTTATCAATTCATATTTGGAATACTGTGTCCAAATATCTCAATTAACTAAAGCACTAAAATAAGAACAACGAACATCCAGTCACCCCTTCATTCTACAAGGGGAGACCTATTTGATCAAATCAGTGAGAGCTTGGTAAAAAAAACCCCACAACCCACAACAGTTAAAACAAATGATGACTTCTTTTTCGAAAACAGGGGTTCAAATCTATTATTACAAGAGTAATTGGATCATTAAAAATTTGTGATTCTCTCAGAATATAATTCAAACTGTCCAGAACCTGTAAGTTACAGGTGTGACCATTTCACTCATGTATTCATTTTTTAAGTAGTAATATATATTTTTCTACATACCATTTCTGTTCTTTCAACAAGCAATATTTCTACTACATTATTGACATTAGAAACCATTTCATGTATATGTTCTCATCCTGTACAAATATCTACTCCATGACTTTTATCCACTAAGCAGCATATAAAAAGGATTATTGGTCAACTACATCTTTAGATTGAGTTCAATTCTGAACAACTTTTGTAGTTTCAGGATTTTTTTTTTTAAACTAGTGAGGAAACACATGTCTGTAGTGAATCGCCATTATCTTTATTCACAATTACTGTAGAAATGTAGCTGTCATTAGGTCTAGTGCTAGGATATTGCTTCTAACACCATGGTGTCAAAAACAAATACAAACAGCATTTTACAAAACAAGCAAGCATAAACGCCCCTTCATGACTGGCCATTACTGCGACTAACTGCAAGTGTGTTCAACCTTTCAGCAGTACCTTGTCAGTGAACAGAGCCAGTTCTTTAGTACTTCTAGAGATTTATACAAGGAGTAGCCCTTACAGCAAGAAGATAAAAAAGATACTGTAAAGAATCTAGTGAAAACTACTTATCTAACCTCAAACATAGTTTGGGTAAGGCAGGAGAAAGATGGACACTTGCAGTGACTATATTATTTTGTGTTTCTTTTAAGTTGGTAACTGAAACAAGTCTCTACTTCAAAGAACATCCATGGAACCAACTAGTGCTCTGCCTAGCAATAAAATTCCCTACAAAACTTACAAAGACCTGAGGGAAAACTGTTCATTAGGAAAATTTCATGAATAAAATCCAGTTTTTGTAAAAGCCCTTATTCCATCAGTATCTGGATGGCAATTCACTTTTATAAATAGAGCAGGAAATAAAAATGGGTTATTGGCTTAATATATTAAAATCCTGAGCAAGTTTTTACCTTAATGCTCTCATGTGATAGGATATTTGTAAGCTAATGTGTTATTAAAAATCCTAAACTGGCCAAAATTTGGAATTCCTGTTCCATGGTAAATTCTGAAAAGTAAATTAATTCCGAATACTGTTAGTGTCAGTATAATTGAACACACATTCTGTAACGTATTCAGTTCTGCATATGCACCATGACTACCATTCATGCACTTTCATGCAGTATATATATTAAAAGGAAATTTCCCAAAAATTTGTAAGGGCCTATCCTTATGACTTGGTAATCTGCTTTTAACCTAGTGTAATACATTTTATTTTAATGTAAATAAAAGCAAATACTATTCAGAAAATCATGAAGCAAAACGTCTATCTTATTTTGCTGTTAGACACGTACGTCATTTGAAGTTGCTTTGAAACAGTTTGGCACTGGAAACAAGAAAATAAACAGTGATACTAATTAGAATATCAGCTTGTTCCAATATCTTTACGTTGGCTCTCAAATTTCTTTTCTGCCATATTAAAAACTGCTTCTACTCCAATTAATACTGATGAAAGTTTCAAACATCAAATTTTCATTATGGCATCAAACACTGAACAAGTGAACAAGAAAGTGAAGTTGTTTCAATTACAGTAATATCTGCTTTAATACTATTTAATCAATTAAGTAGGTACCAAACAAACGATATAAAAATCCAAATTGCTTTGGCAGCCCTGGAAGCCCTAGCTTCCCCATGCCCAGGGCTGCCACGGATCCTCGGTGTCTGGGCTACCACAGACAGCAGGGACAATGTGAGGAATAGAAAGCTGACAAAAAATGTGCAAGACCTGGCAGAAAAGAGAATCAAGTTATTTTTAACAAAAATAAATATGCTTAACTTATTTTTTATTTCCCACAGAATTTGTGTTTTCTCCCAGAAAATTACTAATCCATCTAATCGACAACTTCTAAGGAAAAATCGTTCCATCAAAAAATTTCTGACCACCTCTTTTCTTTTTATTCTGTATTCTGTAATGATTCTGTGACAGTCTTCATACACTACAGTGAGAATTCAGCGCTGACTCAATGCTAAACGAATTAATGGAGTAACTACTAATAAAAGACACTGGCGTAAAAAGCAAATATATTCATGGAAAAAGGAAAGAGGAATCAAGACACAATTCTACAAAGATTTAACAATCTTCAGAAAGATGTGCAGCTTCTTCATGCTTCACAGTTACAGAGAGCTTGGTAAGAAAGTAAATACTGACAACCTTTGTGAACAGTAGAAGTCACCAACACATTGAAGTGACATGTAACTGGAAAGAATAATATTATAAGCACTGAAAAGTTTATGAACATCAGCATTTGAGAGCTATAAACAGGAAATCAGAAGAGCAAAAAGACAATCTATTTATTTCTCTAAAATCAAGCAGCCTAATTACTCCTCTTAGATGTGCTGGGTAGAAAACTCCACCACACACAAGTACTTACTGTCACTTTAACTACAAGTCCATATTCTTAAACTACGAACAGGTTCCATTTCCTCCAACTTACAAATAAGCAGGCCAACTATAAATAGAGCTTCACTTTAGGGATATAGAATGACAACCACAACCTGAACACAGCGAGTGAACTGTTTTCACATAAAGGTATGCTACAGGACATGTCCTCACGATGCTCAGGAGCCACGCTAGGCACCTTAAACTCCCTCTAAAGTTCATGAAACCAACTTGAGCCATGCTCAAGACCTATCAAGTGGAATTCAATCTTGTTCAGATTTAGTTCTGACTTCATAAATAATTTTCTTCCCCAAAAAGTGTCTTTTACACCACCTCCAGCTACACTGCTGTTTTAATCTTGCCACCTTCTGCCAAGAGATTTCCCCTCATATATAATCAAATTCCAGTTTGATCAAAAACGGTTGGAATCATTGCGAAAATACAAAAAATTGAAGCAGTAATTTTTAATTTTTTTAAAATGATAGAATAATCAAGTATATTTATGGAAAGTCTTCCATGTAGCAAAAACATTAATTACATGTAGATATCAAAATAATTTTTGGTTTAAACACATTAAATAGTTCTTTTGACCCTCATCAATCAAATCTTACACAGAATTCACAGTGGTTTAAAAAAGCATAATTTTACTTATCTATCTTGCTGAACTTAAAGAAACAAAATCGAGACGAGTTATGAATAAATATGGCAGCTTTCTTTTTTGTTCATTTATAGAACTTAAAGGGACTCATTTCCCCCCCCCAGCAAGTTTTATGTTTAAATAAAAAGTTTTTAAGTATATTACAATAAACCCTCACACATATTAGTACTACTTCAAGTCCATGTTTATGTTTCTTTAACTGAAAATGTTACTGGAAAAATATTTATCTACAGTACTACTGAAAAAAATATTATTGGACATAAAATATCAATGTCTTTGGCAAATAGGATGATTTCATGAACAAAATAACACTTCTACAGGTCAGGGAATCTCTTCTATTCAGTTTGCTAAGCCAGCCTATATTTTAAGTCCAGGAAAATGCAAATACGATGATTTCAACTGAACGTTAAGCTACAAAGTGACCCACAGTTTCAAAGCTAATAACAAGACTAACAAGAGAATGCATATGAAAGTATAAGCTACTATTTTTACATCACAGTCTTTAGCCAAAACCTACCAAAGTCGATGTGAATCCTTCCCATGTTTTGAAGCAAACATCAAAGGATTTTTGGAAGGACCAAAAATCATTTGTGAATTATGAAACATAACATAGTATTAGCAAATTCAAATCAAGTGTATAAATTCTAATCTTATGTTTGCAAAACCAGAAGCCATTAGAAAAGTCCAAGGCTTTGTTCAAAAATCGTTAGGAAAAAAACTAAACAAAAATCCTCACATCTGTTCTTTAAAACAATTAAAAAAAGGACGATGACTTTAAACGAAAAATGAAATATTGAATGACTCTTCAACTACACTTTTTCCCTCTCTAACACTACATTTAAACGGTTTTTAAATAACTAAGAGCCTGCAAAGCCTGTCAGACAACAGGTCTTAATGGAAAACTTGCATCCTTCCCAATTACAGAAGTGTTGGCAAGTCCTCCTCGAACACGCATTAGCACTACAGCATGCCTAACAAAACATCTATACTCCCAAGTAAATACAGTACTACTTGTATACAAAACCAACCTAAAATGACCTTTCCAAAGAAAGAAGAGTAGTGAAATGAGCATAAAGCAGAAGCAAGTCTGTATATGACAAATAACAAAATAAAGATGGTGATCTCAACTACAATGAAACATTCTACAAGACAGAAAATATGTGTATGCGTTAAGGTGAAATAGGTGTTTGACAGATGTTGATTTCCTGACTTACAGTCAAGAAGTTAATTATATAATTTTTTAAATCTACTTAGAGAACAACTGATAAACCAGCTGCAGTTAACACAGGCATATTTTGTACAGCTTTTAGTAGAAATAAAGATAGGGCTTAAATACAAGAAGTACGACAATGTATTCAGAAGCACGTGACAAATCTAGAGTAGCATGCAGGTGTGCTTATGTATGTACACACTAGGAAACAGAAGAGAGCTTCAGGGATTTCAGATGCTTAGATCACTAGTCAACTCCTACCTCCCCATCACTCACCTTCACAGCTATAACTGTACACAGCAACCGTTGACCTTTCAACCAGATTCTCGTCATGGTGCCAGCTCACTGCCATGTTCCCCATTCCAAAATAAGGCTCTTGTTTCAAGTACAGCATTTGCAGTGGATCCATATAATTTAATAAAGTCAAGTTATAAGACGTTCTATTCTCTAGACTTGCGTAGTTATGCTCTGGTACACAAATGCTTTGATCTTTTGAAACAGACCCTTCCTCTGTAAGAGAAGTAGCAAAATTTTCCTCCCTATCTATTACAGTAGTATCTTTAATTTCTTTGGTCTCAAACAAATTTTGTCCTTGTAATGCCTTGACTGCTTCAACATGTAAGTAGTCATTAAGTCTGATTAATGCTTTACAAGCATCGTGTATTTGAGGACTGCAATATTTTATATCATAACCTTCAGTAGGCCAAGGAACTGTAAATAATCTTGTGTTCAAGTACTTGTAAGTGCATCCTGGCTTTCCAATTAATATACGGGACACCGGGGTAACAAAATCTTTTCCTTTGATCCGCACAAGATCTTGAAAGAAACATTCGTGTTTTCGCAAGGTCAGAAAGCCTTCTTGTACCATTTGATGAAGCTCTTCGGGTACTGTATCAGATTTTCTGAAAATCAGCTTGGAATATTTGGTCTTCCACTAAAAGAGGAAAAAAACACCAAACAACAAAAACAGAAAAAGAGTTACTCTTTTGACAGGAACCAAAGTATTTCATATATTCAAGAACACATTTCAAGACAAGGCTAAGTTAACGAGTTATCAAGCATGAGTCTACAATATGGTGAAGAAACAGATGCCAGTATTTGTTACTTAATTTTCATATTCCAATATGCTGCATCAACTGTGGATATGTACTAGTGGCCTGCAACCAGAGGGTATCACCGGGGCAAATCTCTAAATAAATAAACCTGAGGATTCTGGCAGAAAACAATAGAACAGATAAGCTCCCTTGACAAATCTGTAGACAACGCTACCTTTCAGGATACCAGCAACAGAATACAAAGCAGTAACAAAGTGACTCCTCATTTTGCAACGGTTGCAAAGACCATTCTGTCTCATTCTGATGTACACAATTCTAGAGGGCTACATGATAAACTAAAACACTTTTATATAACAACAATTTTGAGAGCAAAAGTAACAAAATGAAAAAGTCATTTTTCAAAAAAGGCCAGCATTCTGCTGCATTGCACCTCTATCTTCAAAATGGACCTTGGCATACTGGCCCCTTCTATTGTCACATTCCTCAATGCATGCCCATTAGCTCTCCTATTTTACCTAAGAGTTACCCTTCTAGACAATAAAAAAAATTTCCAAATGTATTTTCCTCCCCATCTCCCCACCTGCAGTATCCTTTTTCCTTATATCCTCTTCTGACTGCACCAGCTCTGGTATCAGCTGGAGTTCAGAATCCAGCAGTTTGGAGGCAACAACTCCCAGCAAGGTATAACGATGCTAGTCCGCAGTATCTTGCTTTGTACGCAAAATACTGCTTCCCACTCCAGGAAGGAATATCACATAATCACACCTTTTATTAGTTGCCTGTAAGTCTGCTTTAACCACTGCTGAGACTGTTGGTCAATCTGGACAAAGGCTAGAGATTATGTTCTTAAATAGATGAAGTTCCTATGTATTCCATTAAAATTAATAGATAAATAAAAGAAACGGATGCCAACTAATGCCCTTAGTAAGGGAAAGGCTGCAATGTGAGCCTATCAGGTATCAGCATGCGTGAAGCTCCCAACCGCTCACCACAACTATTTCCTTTTCTCCAGAAGTCAGTGACTAGCCTGGGCAAAAAGGCAGATAAAAAACTTTATTTTAAAAATTACTTTTTAATGTAATAGTTTATGTTCTAAGTGCTTTTAAAAAAAACCAATAGAAGCCACCAGCACAAAAGCATCACACTGACCTACAATCCATCTGCAGGCTCCTTCAGGTACAACTCAAACCCACTTTATCTACTCTATCTACTATACAACCTACTTCCAAATCAGATTTGAACCTGCCTTTAAGGAAGTCAATTTTAAAATCCAGAAAAGGTGCCTTTCAAAAATACAAACCAGGCAGTTCAGTAAGTATACATATTTTCTACTACATGAAAACAGTTAAGACTTTTGCATCCTAACATGCTGCTATCCGACAACACTGAAGAGGTGGCTTTACATAGTCATTTGTTTCTACTAAAAAGGAGAATATAAAAGGAAGTCTGTTTTAAAAATAATGATTACACATAATAAATTTTTACAGCAAAGCTAACTCCCTTTCTTTACATGTTCTTATGGTTTCCAAAAACCAGCTTCCTAGGGAGAGGAGAAAAACCCCTAACAGTATCTACCGATGATAATAATTTCTGACAACAGTCAGAACAGTATTTACACAACAAATTTATGACAACAGTATTTACATGCTTAACTTTAACTACCAAAGCTTGAAAACAGCCCCAGATATCTGAAGGTCCTCCCTAGACATTCTCCAGCACAGAACACTGAATCCCAGATTTCATTAAAAGAAATGAATACAAACTTGAAAAAACGCAATTTGCCTGAGCTTGCCAAAAGCCCGAAACTTCAGTCCTGAACTGTCCCCTTTATTTCAATTAGTGCTTTGTACACACAGCCTCTGAACAGTACAGTGAAAAAATCGTTATGAAGAATAACTACTGAAATCAGTAACTTCAAGTTTTAAGGATTTACAGCTATAGGCTATAGTCAGATGTGTGAGTAGAGGTTGATGGGCATCATAAGTATTCTTTCACAATCGCACTTAATAATGACAGAACATTATATGTTGGGACGTATAAAGGTTATTACTGCGTGATTTGTTTCATTATGCAAGTGGTATGTACAAAAGAGAGAGCACTATCAGTTCTATAGCAGTATCCCAGTATTTCTTTAAACTATTCTATATATTTGACATTCTCAGGTCAGATTAATCAATTACTCACATTAGATATGCTATTATGGCATATTTTAGAAGTCATTATTCCTACATTTTTGAAACCTTTTAATACACTGAATTTCTGACATGAATCACACACATGAAATTCCAAACAACTATTACAAACAGGAGAGAAATAACAATACGATGTAAAGCAACTAAATGCCTGAAAACCTGCACTAGAGAGGAAGCACACAGATTTTACAAAGGTAACACCATCATATTCCCCTCCTGAACTGCAGAGGTAATGTCTTCCACATTTTGTTGCCAGCCAAGTCAGAGGCATGTTACCTTTGGGTTGTGTTTTAAGATAACATGCTTAAGAACTATTTTATCATTAAGTTTTACATAGTATACTTACGATTGTATCTTAAAAAAAAACACCATACTGCTGTCTCAAAAGAAATCAGGAAGTGGGAACACATTTCTGACACATGACATGAAAACAGTTTGGTCGTCTTTAAATCTCCAGCCAGATACTGCGCTATGTCCCACATAAGGAAAGCATTAAGGGATCAGAACACAGGGTGAATGCCTGGCTCACATTGGACACCTTGTTGTTTTGGGGGCATGGAGAAGGAGGAGTAATCACCTACTCTGTGTTGTAACTCTGACAGCAAGTATTAAAGGTCAACTCGCTGTTCACTCTGAAACAAGTAGGTACATTACTGGCAACTACAGGACAAAAAAAAAGCACATTTGATTCTCACATCTTCACACAAATGTTATACACATGCCTTCACTCCTAAGGGTGGTACTCAACACAGAGAATCACCCTACAGGATGACTCAAGTGACAGAATAAAGTTAGAAATCAGCAATAAGGACTTTTGATAAGCCAATTGCCACTTCAGTCCTTGAATGATAGTTTGTACTTTAGATATTTGTGCATTGCCTTGTTAACGGACTTTTTCTTGTTCATAATGGGCTTTAAACAGTACATTGTTTCAGCCCATTGGGGCCTATTTCTAAAATCCTTCTTCAGGCAAGACACATTGAAAGAGGATGTCGGTGAAGTTTTGCTTGTGATGGAATTCTTAGTTTTGTTCAGACTGTACATCTCCATACCCGACAGGATACTGTAGTTTCTTACTTGCATCCTACCTAACCTTTCCAACGTGTTCAAAGAAAACTGCTTATAAAGGGTGGATCCTTCGAGGAGTAAGACAGGTCTCTCCAGGAAAGACAGATTATAAAACTAAACCGTATGTGGTATTTTATTTTGCCAATTTGTTGTCTTCGAACTCTCACTCTTCTTTTCCTCTCCATCTGCATTACGTTTAAGCATCACAGAACCTGCAATATCTACAGCTATGATTAAAGCAACATTTCATAACCACCATAAGAATTTAAAAGGTGCTTGTGGTGCTTAGATTACCACACATACTTAAAAATACCTCGCATTAACACAAACACTACACAAAATTTATCATTCCATATGATGCAAAAAGAATGTATCTAAACCCTATTAAGGCTTGAACAGGTCTGATTTCACTGCTTATCTTGTTCCCATTGTCTTCCCTATTTATAGGTTACTGACACTGAGCAAATGAGATTGCCACTTGGGCAACCTGGGCTCCATTTTCTCTTTTCACGTCAGTTCCACAAGACTATGGACTTACAAAGATGGGAAAAAGAAAAAGAGGCTGGGCATAGCAGCTCTTGGCAGCAACAGATGTAACAGAAGAGAACAATCAGGAGGGGATGTAACGGGACTAGGGAGAAGAAAACAGCAAGCTGCCCTAGTCTCAAAAAGTGCAAGAGGTGCTTCTTGAACATTAAAGACTGAGAAGAATGTGTTTGGGTTGGGGCTTTTTTAATGAAAAAACAAATCATTCTGTTAAGCTCTTCTACCACTTGCCATTGCCCACAGAGGTACTTTTATGGCTAACAGCAAGCTGTGTGTTTTCATGTTATTATCCTTACAGCCGTTAAAGATCCCAATCAAGAGCTTACTCCCGCTGTGTTCAGCACTGTAAGAACACAGAGAAAACCATGCTTTCCCTAAGCATCCTACAACCCAAACAAACAAGAAAGGCATGGGAAGGGTACAGGTTGCTCAATATTACAACTGTAATTCCATGGCAACACTGGAGTTTAACTTCACGCTTCTGAGTCACGTCCAGTACCTGACCCATCAATGCATCTTTCCTTTTCTATAGCGTGATGTGTGCTAAGCTCTTCTTGGCCTTGGAATCCTGCAAAAGAGAAATTCATCCTTGCAAGGAAAGAGTCAGACCTATTTCTGCACTACCACATGCATCTTTGAGCCATATATCAAACACAGGAAAGGTAACATCCCCGTAACGTAAGCATGCTTGCTGTAGCTGTTCAAACTACGAGACTCCTTCTTATGCTTTTCATCTTACCGTGTCCTGATTTGATCTGATTGAACCTACAATTCTTGCCATATGTTTTGTAGCTGACCTAGAAAGATTCAAGACAGATACAGAACATTCTATTACTTTCATGATGCTTTTCCATATGCTAACTTTGTTCACTACTTATGTGGCTACTGAGCCTGTTTTTACTTTTATTTTGTTTCGAGGCATGCATTCCACAGTTCATTTTGTAAGCAAAATCTTAAGGGTTACTTATTGTTTGAAAGTAGAATTAAGCCAAAACATTTCAAATTTCTATGTTAATACTTTCCCTATTTTGCCAAATCTGAACTATAAAGAACAGGTCTCTTCACATCTTAGAAAAAAAACCAAAAAACCAAAAAAACCTTAAAAGAATGGCAACATGTAATTTATTTTAACAAAGCATAAGAAACTTTGATTCATTGTTACACGTGTTATCTGGTACTCGGGTACTGATACTCAGGGCAAAATCCTAAAAATAAATGAAGTTCACAAAGTTTTCATTCTTGAATATCCCAATTCTAGAGGTCTTAATTCGCACCACCTGGAAATACATTATTAGCCATCAGGATGCCTTTTTCATACTAGATTTCACAGTGTCTCTTTGAAGAAAGATTTATTTGTTGTTCAGTGCAAACAGCCATTTCAGTTGAAAACAAGTCCAGTCAAAAGAAATACATTACCAACTCATGGAAATCAGCATCAGCTGGTGTCATATACGGAAGTCTGTTCTCTCCAAGTTCTTCAAGAAGCTTTTTTTTCTGTTTTGGAGGGGTGAAATTGAAACAGAAAATTAGACTAGAAACCAAGATATAAACAGCCAAGTATAAAACTAGTTGTATTAAAAAGACACAAACATATGCAATTATTTCTCTTACTACCTTCAATCCTGGAAAATTAAATAAAGCAAAACGGATGCAAAAAATTAGCAGAGCTTTTCCACTTACAAAGCAGTACTTCAGGTTAGGTAGTTTCAGGGCACGTGAGTTTATTTCCTCCTAAATTCTTTTTCAGATAATCAGTCCTTATCACACTGATGAAAATCCATCCTAGTCTAATATTTGTCAGGATTATGCCTACCTTATACCTAGATATTATTTTCTTATTTTCTTTTCATTTTATTTTCTACTTCAATTTGTGGATCCAATGGGTACAAAGCTCATATTCCATTCAACGGCTCAGTAATATACTTCACTAAAACAACGAGCCTCAGTGTTGGAGATACTCTAAAATGTTTGCCGAAATGGGTGTATGAAGGAAAAAGAAAACACCACCTACTGTACACCAAAGCCCCTACAATCTGACAACATTTAAATGACGTCCCCAAGACCTGCCATCCCAGCAGACAGTCACAAATCTGGTTTATCTTGGGAGTGTGCCAAGAGCCAGCTGACTGTGAGAAGCAGGTTTTCACTGTCCCCCTTGGTCTGTTAACTCCTTTTTTAGTCCTGTTTTAGATAGAGATTATCTCCACCAATGTTTAGTCAACACAACCACTAAGAAATCGCTAAGGTAAAAGCCTGATTTTCCCCAAACTTCATTTTCCAGATTTCTATTAACAAAAACAGAATTTTTGTATGCATTATACAATTAACTGTGCAGTTAAAGATTTGGAAAGTGCAAGAGACACTTGAAACATGCCATCAGGTTTTTGGAATCAGAGAATCACAATCCATGACAAATCCGTCCGCATTTATCTATCCACAGTCTAACTCAACGTGATAGAAGTACAGATTAACAACAGTCTAAAAATTGTTACAGTGGAAGCATTGGGCTAGAACTTTAATATACTGTTTCCTTTATTTCTTCTTTCTTTTAGCTTGCAAGAAGGCTTTCTTAACGAACTTCGATCACTAACAAATGTTTACTAATAAAAATGCAACTCAAAGATCAAAGATAAAACTACATCTGTCAGAATGCTTGACTATTTCCAATAACAGGATTCAAATTCTCATTTTTTGTGTCATATTTTCAACTACATAAACACTACTACAAGAAATAATTGAAGAAGCAGCCCACTCAATACTTTCATGCTGTAAAAGCAAGACCAGATGAAAATGGAATACAGTTTTTAAAAGAATGATAAGGGTGTAATACAACGGAGAACATGGAATAAGTTAAAAATGGGTATCACTAACACTCATAAAACCAAGTCATACAGGAATAACTACACATTTCATCACCTAGATGTCACTGCAAATTGATTATTCCGTAGATAAGAGAATTCATTGTTGAGAAGAATGCAAATTAAGATTTTTTTTTTTTTTTTTTTTTTTTTATATTCCCCTTTTCATAATCTTTTCAGGTTGCATATACTGGTCAAAACTGATCTTCTCTATCCTGGCAATCCTACTTAAAAAAGGAAGAAATATTACATGTAGTAACTAACTCCTGGCTTACAGCAAATGCATAAACAAGCAAAGCTGAACTATGAAGAGTGTTACTGTACTTTCTGTGACGGTGAAAGTCATTTATTCAAATTTATGCACCAAGGAAGATGACGGAGGCTTAAAATCATGAGGAAGTGTAGAAGATTATAAGGTTTATAGCTAACAGATCAAAGTGAGATAAGAGCAGGTAGCTTCCACTTGCTCATCTCTGCACTCACACTCTGCTGATCACCAACTCCTAACCAGAGTGAGAAGAGCAGCACCGAAATGTATCAACTAGCAGTGTAATTCCTCTAGGTCTCTGGTTTTCTTTGAGGATAGGTTGTTGGTAAGATGACATGAAGTCAGCAGTGAAACCCAGTATAATGTAATTTCAGATTAAGTTCTAAAAAATGACATGCTAATTTGCTGCGTATTCTAAAACAGAAACCCTTCTCTAGTACAAAAAGCTTGCTATAATTTTATTACCTGAAATCACTGAAAAGATTAGATTGGTTTTGTTATCTGTAAAATAAACCATATTAAACTGCAGAAAAAAATCATATATTTCAATATGCAGTCATATCTATGGGGCACAAAAAGAAAAAAAAAAAAAGAGGTGGGAAAAAGAGAGATTCTGACAATTTCTTTGTCAAGTACCAGCCTCTTGGCAAAAAGCACACAACATTAAAATGCACTCTTGTGTTTAGGTAGTACTAGTTCACATTTGATTGTCAGATCTGGCTAAGTGCCGCTCCTCGGCTTGATGTACAGACTAATACACACAGCTGGGTGGTATAACACGCTGCTCATCTCTTATGCAAGAAGCTGTCACACAGATGTCAACAACATCAAGCTACTCACAGATACCTCCAAAAAGTAAAGAAAGGCAAAAACTGAAGATCTGGCTACACCAGCTGGCTGATGTAACAGTGCATAGTCTTACACATAAGCACTGCTTATAGGCTTTTCCAACACACAAACCCTAAATAAAAACAACAACAAAAATGCCTTTACTTGAAGGTATCGGGCATCTTAAAAAGTATTTTTCTAAAATTGACTTTTATATTTAAAAAATGATTAACAGTGTAACAGTTTATTCAGGTACCAGTATTATGTTTCTTACACTTTAAAAACCAATGTGATTTTTATACATACACTAACGACGCCAATACGTGAAAGAATCTTATATGCACCATTCCTACGATGTCATCATGCAGTGCGCACTGCTCAAGAAACCTTGTTAAGTGTTGTACTCGGGCCCTCAGAAGAGAGAAAATCTCTGCAAATACCTTATTTTGAAGGCTGCTGGGAGAGTCAATGGATCTATTATACCTGACTGATAAATGGAATGAATACCAGAAGGACTAATGCCCAGTTCTAGAGCGTGCGATGAACTTCCTGCAGACATTAACAATCTCTGCTCATTTCGTAGTAATACATGGGCTTATTAATGAGATGGTTGGTTTTAAAATTCAGCAAGTGGAATAGTAATAACTGGAACCTTTCAATCACTATATGTATCAGTTTTACTTATCTTTTTGAAGTTTCTTTAGAGCAATAGAAGTAATGCATGGTATGTTACAGAGCCAGAGAAGTAATAGCAACACAGCTAAAACCCAAAGTCACAGGCCAAAATGCAGTTATGTTACCCACACATGGTTTGTTGTTTTCCAATTAAGTGGTATAAGGGAAAGATGGGACATAAACACATTTTCAGGCCAAGAAGCATGACAGTGTAAAAATCTGTGCAGCTGACATATTTCTCTGAAGGGTGTCAATAGATTTATCCAAAGGTTTCATTTCTCTCTTAACTGTAAAACAAAAGTTCAATATCTAGGCTATAAAGGCTTGTGAAGGCCTTAGTGTTTCAGACATAGAATTCCCACTTAGTTTCATCATCAAACAAGTCAGAAGACGATAGTAGTCTTCCAATTTACAGATCATTGTCTTGGCTGAAACAATGTATTATAAAAACTAATTTTACTGAAATCACATTGAAATATTATTCAAATTAGTTCTGACAATAAATTTAAGGCTGCAACGTCACAACAATTTCCAACACGTAAAAACACTGAAAACATCAAGAAGCAAAAGTTTGGGGGTTCCCCCCAATACTTAGCATAAAACGCACTGAAGAATTTACTGAAGAAATTGCATTTGTTCACACAAGGAGACTTAAGCTAACACAAGTTGGATTCCCCTCTAAAAAGATAACCCTGATTGCTGCCCTGCATTTCTCCTGAATTCATGGAAAATGCTGGCTTCACTACGGCAAGTAATCTGTCTGGGCCTGGAGCAGCATCCCATACAGCTGTAATAAGTCAGTCACACAAGTCCAAGACACGGACAGATACAGCAGTGCCTATGAAACGTTCAAGGAGGTTAGCTTTTAGTTACACAACAACAGCTCACTCTGATGAGCAGCTAATATATACTTTATTCAAACCAGTAGACCACCAAAAAACATGACTGTTACTCACTATTCTGGAAAAGCTCATCTCATTATTCCCTAAAAAAAATAGTGGGTTTTTTTTTTTTCAGAAAAGATGGTGTTTTGAAACTTCTAACAGCCACATTCCCAACCTCCGAGGGGATGCAAGCAACCTTTTATTCAGCCATTCGTTACCTACTTTCCTTAATTGGTGAATTTTTTCATCCTAAACAGTTTTGCTAACAGCCCACTGCAGTTTTCACACTTTTTGAGAATACTGACTCAGGACCAGAACTAGCAAAACACAGGCACTTAAGGTTTTTTGTTTTCAATGCAACCCAATATGTTTGCAGAAGTTTCTGGGGTAGCGCCAAAAAAGGGGCCTCTATTCAAAGCAAAAAAAGTATCACCTTCACCTCCCATACTGTTTTTTCCCCAATAGTTTTATGTTTTCCAAAAGGTTATCAGGTTTAGCAAGGCACTCTGAGAATGCCTATTTTCATGAAAGAAAGATCTGAATCACAAGTTCAGACGCAAACCTTTGGTCTTCCAAAAATCCCTCCTTTCTATTAGCTTTTTCCCCACGTAAGAATGTACATTAGGGCTTCTTCCATCACTCCCTTTTTTTTTTTTTAAATCAACTATAATAAAAGGTGGATTTCTTTCAAGACACACATGAAGAAAAAGGCTAGTGCTCTGAAGTGAGACCTCCACGGCTTTATAAAGGAGCAAGATTAAACACTTCAAACAGTAAAAGAACTGTGACACAATACTAAGACCCCAACTAGAAAAGAGTCACTTCTCAGAAACTTCCACAACCTTACCTCCTAAAATTCTCTCAGTTTTTTTAAGAAATTAAAAAAAAAAAAAAAAAAAGCAAATTTGGGATTGTTTATTACGGTAGAAATGTGATTGAAGTTGACACTTGTTTAAACTACTGGCCTTTCCAAGTGTTAGCTATTAAAGCTTCATAGCAACTCAGATCATTCAAGTGGCTCACTAAAACCAGTTATGCCAGAAATGAACGCAGAGTAATAAAAAATACATTCTAAATCCACTATTACAGTTTTTATTTCTCCATTATAACATACATTGGATTTCAGAAATTTTTTTCTTCAAATTATTTCTGTAAACTCCACTCATTAAAAGATCTTAAGGGACTGGCAAATTTTACAGCACTATTTACTCACATGAAGAAGTTATACTTCCAGATTACCCTTCATTACACTCAAGTCTTACCAAAGGCCTTGTCCATGCTACATTCTTTCTATAACCCAGTCTGCCAAAAATACTGGCAGACATATGACCATATCGTACCACACTTTGCATCCTACAGCTCCCCTTTACCCCCAGCACAATACTATAAGCCAAAAAACTTTTTCATATTAAGGACAAAAACTTGGCATTATTATTATTCTATTTAAACTCATATTAAAATTATCTATGACTCACCCATAAATCCAGTTCCTAACTACACTACAATAAAGTAAGCTGGTTATTCAGTATAACTATTGTGCATCTTGCTCTCCCACCGAACAAAGCAGTCCAGTGATCTGATCATGAAAAAAATTACATAATGAACAATCTACTGCAACGCAAAGACCTCAGGACTAACACACACCAGTGTTTGTAACTGAGCAGCTGCCTAAAAGACTGTTTGATATTCTTTCCTGCACAGGTACCGTTTGGCTTTGCTTACTAATTTCAACCTCTCTTACCCTTTCTCATAAATCAGCAGGCCCAGGTTTTGGTTCACACACACATGCAGACCAGTCATGCATATGCACAACATACTTGAATGAGGTAACCAAAGTAAGAGTTAATTTATGCATCGAAGCAGCTTAGCAATGTGTGAAAAATGTCTTTGCTCTCTCCCCACCCTGACGTGTT